CATGATTATTAGCAATAATTTTTTTTAACCTTGCACTTGTGAAAATAAAGTTGCAACAGGGTCAAATATGGAAATGGTGGTGGTAACCTCTGTCAGTTACAAAGATCTACACGAATGTTTTCATATTTCTAAATTAGGTCTAAATACACACTGTCTACTAATTCTTTCCCCCAAAACTAAAATGAGCCAAACTCAAGCAAAAACCTCCAACCTTCCTTTCACCTAATGTTTACACACAGCTAGATGATAGTGGCTTCTGGACATCAGGGAAAGGATTTCTTTCTAATTTTTCTTTTTAATTTGGAAAGTATATGATTATAGAATTTTGTTATCTAACTCAAAATTCCACATATTTTTAATATAAAGTAATCTAAATGCTTTCTTCTTTAGCATGTTAAAGCCATTCCATTAAAAAAATTCTCTTTAAATCTAAATATCCACATTACTTGACCTTATCAAAAGTACCAAAAAATTGATAGCTGCATAAATTCTATTATTTCTAGTTTTCTATGAAGCACAGATTCATTCTTAAATGTATATTCTTTAAAAAATAATAGCAAATACCTTGAGAAGAGTGATGAAAAATACCTTCCTTTTCCATTCTGTAATGCTGTTTTACATCTTGAGTCTTAACTGTACTTGGTTCTAAGGTTTAAACAGTAAGTGTAAGTACCATTAGTTGTGTTCCTGTGAGCTGATGATTTTGAAAAATTTGCTTTTCTCTTTAAATGAAAAAAATTTTAGCTTTCAAGAACTGAAATTTAGTTATGTAAATATTTTGGCTAATGCTACTTATAAATAAATCAAAATTTTGGAAGTGTATTCATGAACAAAATTTGATTCCTTACATTTTTTTTTCTTTTCTTTTTTTTAAACTTTAAGTTCCATTTGAAGTTTTGACCTTTGCATGGACAAAGTCAAGAAAAGAGAAACCCTGCCTTTTAAACAATGGTTTATGGTGGTGTATTTTTGCCTCAGCATCAATAAAACTTAGATAAAATGTGTTATTGGATGAAGTTCAGTTTTTCTGCTGAGATTTTTTAAGAACAAGGTTGAAGTTTCAATGCCTAAAAACATTAATTGTCTGGATCCATATGAACCAAGATACGTGGCTACAAATAACAGTCTTGCAAAAAATTGATATTTTAAAACTTATTGCATATTTTGAGATTGCTGCCCCTTTTTTAGTGTTTTTTGTTTTCTGTTTTGCTTTATCATGAGTGGGTATATGGTATACTGAAGGAAAACTATTCAGGTAACACATTCTGCATTAACTGAGCTGTTTTACCTAAAAAGAGTTACATAAAGCTTTTATTTCATCCCACCTGTTAACTTGAAAACTATTGGTAAATCATAATTCAATAAACTAAAATTTTATAAACTAGTAAGAAGACTTACCTTACAAAAGTAGTCAGATAATGCTGATTCTTCTCTTCCAAAGGCTAATAATGACAGTTCTTGGTCCTGAGATGGTTGGTTAGTACAATAACTGCTGTACACACCACAATGTTGAATATTAATAGATTTGCTGAAGATTCTGGGTTTGAAGATTAGCTTGGAAGCAATCCACTTGCTACCATGAATCATGACTTAAATTGTCCCCATGTGTTTTACTGCTTGTGTATGAATGCAAATGTTGTTACAGAAAATATGCTTGAAATGTCAACACAATGTGCAATTAGTATTGCATTGTCATGCTTCAGCATGTGATATCTGTATGGTGACGTTATTTCAATTACTCAGATATGTTACTATAATAAAAATGTTTAACATAAGAAAGTTACAATATGTCATCAGATGGTTATTTCTGTTACACACACACACACACACACACACACACACGCTGTTCTTAGAAGAGAATGGCTCTCAATCTTTCAAGGTGATGAAATGTATTTTCACAGTAATTTTCTTCTGCTGTACAGACAGCAGTAGCACTATGGAGATAATTTTACCTGCCATTAAAGTCAGGTCAAGTAAACAAAATTGGAGTCAGTTCCTCTCTTAGTTAGCTGGAAGGTGGACTGTTCTAAAATTTAGAAATGACACTTTTGTATCTTTCTAGTGTCACTGATTATAACAACAGCATTACTAATCTGAATAGAACTATGCCAGCATTTCAGCTATGATGTTAGTTTTTTTCAGGAATTTGTAATTTTATCTTTATTAAAACATCATGCTAAACCTCAATAGAAAGCATAGTCTAGTCTTAATGCCATTCAACCATTGTTCTATAAGGTGATTATATATATAAAGAAATTAGAATAGTTTTTCTTTAAAGAAAGGAAGCACCTTGAATGAAAATTCAGTCATATGATAGGAACTCTAATGCATGTATACATTATTTTTTGGAGGTGACAATCAAATGGTATACATATTAACTTTTTAAATGTATTTTTAAAAATTTGTTATTAATTTTATGAAGTAAAAATATATAGAAGATTTAAGTGCTGAATTTTTTTCAGTGACAGGTAAAAATGAGGCCAATTGGGGTAGTTTGGTATCTCCTTATTTTATCAAATAATTTGTAAGACAAATATATATTAAATGATGGGAAATCTTTTAAAATTATAAAAATAAAATATTCTGATATAATCTCAAGTGTTAGAAAACTTCATGCAGTGCCTTAAAACAAAATGAACATTTAGCTCTTTCACAGAAAGTAAGATAATAGATCTTTAATTTGGAGAGAGTTATCTCTTATTAATGATTTTTCATGTAAGTACAGAATGTGGTGACAAAAATGTCCATCACCATGGTCAGGTAAATATGGAAA